CCTCCTACTTAATGGTTTCCTCAAGATTAACTGTAATACAACTTTCATTATCAAGGGTGGTAAGGCAACTATTAGAGTGGTTTGTAAGAATGATACTAGCCATTTTATTTAGGGCTTTACTGATAAAGTGAAATCCATATCTACATTTATGACTGAAGCCTTAGCTGTAAAAAGAGCCCTTCTGCTTGCAAGAGACATTAACTATATATGATAAGGTTATTTTTGAAAGCAATGGTCTCAATCTTGTTCTCCGCATTCAATAAAATCAGTATGGCCTTGGTGAATCGCCTAGTAGTAGCATAACTAAGGATATGTCAACCCTTATGAAATCTTTGGCTGGATGCTCTCTTTCCTTTGTTCCACATAATGGTAACCATGTAGTAGACTACTTAGCTACTTTTGTTCCCAAGGAGGTGAGTCCGGTTGGATGGGTCACTAGATCACCACCACCTTTATCCTATTTTCTAGCTACGGATGTTGTTAGGGTACTTGCTCCCTCCTCAATTTAGCACTATGATCAATTGGCTCTAGAGGGCATTGGTTGAATTTGTTGGGTTTACCTTTTGTTTTCTTGCTAGATTTATTTCATTGCTGTTTCCTTATTTCATTTTCCTGTTGCTATGTTTTTTCTTTACTACTTTGTCTGTACTAGTTTTTTTCCTTTTGAAAGCTAATAGCATATGCCCTTGGCAAAAAAAAAAAACAAAAAGAAAAGAAAAGAAAAAAATTAACTAAAAGAAAATACAAAATGATTGATTTCTTTTTTCAAATTTATTTTTCAATCAAGCGCAATTAAAATAGTCATCATTTTCAGAGAGAAAATAGTCATTTTTAGGAAATAAGTAGTCATTTTCTAATCCACTTATAAATCACAAATTTACAAAAAGTAAGTGGTTATTTTCTATTCCATTTTAGTCAATAGTCTAACTAAAATTGTTATTTAACTATAGTGGGGTCTGTCCCACTAAGAGTAAACTTCTAACTTTTCTAGCTTAGGCTAGCCTAAACAATAAGGAAAAAGTAGTTATTTATTACTATAATAGCCATATAACAAAAATGTCATTTTATGAAAAATCAAAATGCTAAACAAGTTCTTAGTTCATATAAATCACTTTGCAAATTTATCGAATTTTTTATTTTTTATCGAATTCCTTATATAGATTTGTTTTGGCTTGCATTAAAAAAATATTTATAGTTTGTATTTAGGATAATATATTTGCTTATCGATCAAGTTAGTTTTATCAATAAAAAAAAATCATATATTGAACTTTTAAATCTTAACAAAAATTCATGAATATTAAAATATTAAGCTTATTTTTTTAAAAATAACAATGGTTAGCATAAAAAAAATAATTTTAACCTAATAATATTAGCGTCAAAGAATTAAAAAGAAACTTCATGAAATTAACGAACCAAACTAAGACCTTATATAAAATTAAATAACCAAATGTACACTTTAATCTTTTTTTATCCATTCATAATATTCATATTATTTCTATGATATCATATAACATCTAGAATTGTTAGGTTATCCATACTTCATGTGTTGAACCTGAATAAATAAGCCAATAGGGATTCATTAAAATCTCTGGGTCAATGAGAGTAATAAAATTGAGTCTCATTATGCAATAGTCACCTTGTTCAAAATTGAGCTTTGATGGCAATAGTTTTATAACTTCCCTACACACATGATTACAGGATAAGCTTTTAACAATGAGTAAAAAAACACTTTTAATAGCGATTCTATATCTGCTGTTGTTTTAGGAGATGTTAAATATATGTGACTTTCAACAGCGGTTATACAACTGCTGTTAAAAATAAACTTTCAATAGCGGGTTTATATTCGCTATTGAAAGTTGCTCGTTGAATTTTTTTTAAAAAAGAAGACTTTTGACAATGGTTATGGCTAGAATCGCTGTTAAAATTCTCCTTTTAATACTAGTTAATGCCATAACCACTGTAAAAGTTATTTTAAAAAAATTATTCTATTTTTAGTTATTTTCCTAATTCTTGCAAATAAAAATATTCTATAAAATTTATTGCCAGCCAACCAATTCAACATATAAATAATCTAAATTTCAATATAATTCTATAGAAATTACACAAAACTCAAATTGTCTTATACAATTTTCTAAAAAACCTATGTAAACCTCACATACCATCTCCAAAATATTGTACCCAACATGTGAGGATGTCGTCAACCTCTTCCTCAGAAAATGAATCCATAATGTCAAACATCTATATTAAAGTATAAAATTACAATTAAAAGATTAACTAATTAATTCAAGTAACAGTAAAATTAGCTTTTTAAAAATATAGTTACTTTATTTGTAAATTCAGTCATTCCCAATATGATGATGTTGAGCATGTGCTTCATCACATATATGGCACACAAACTACTCTTCAGTGGTTGGCTGCAACTCTATATAAAAATAGATATATATATATATATATATATAAACAATTGGGAATCGATAATAAATATTGACAATTGAATATGTTAATAAAGTGTTAGTTTTAACTTACCATTAGCTCAATCCACGTAGGATCTTTTAGTTCATGTGGGTGCTTTTTCAGGACCATTATTTGATATGTTTTCATTGCCCAATGATCAACATCATGAGATTTGTAACTAATATATCCATAAAAATTAATAGTTTTTGTACAAGTACACTTATGAGTTTATCGTCTTCATAATGTCCTTCTTTAGTTTGTAATGTAAGGAGCATAAGAAGAGAACTATGTTACTATTCAATGAAAGAACAATCAGTTACCAGTGGTCCCTACATAATATAGTGAGATATTAGAACAAATTCACATTTAACAAAAAAAAAACTATCAATCGTAAATTGATCCTTTTGAATGCATATATGGAGCCATGAAAACATCCTTTTTAACTTCACATATTCATTGTTAAAGGTACCGGGATCTTATTTTAGGAGTATTCCCTTTCTCTGTTATGTGATGAGGGCAAAGAAATCCAAAATAATCAATTTTGCCTAATGTAATGCACAAACGATGGAGGTACCTGCAATAATACAATTCTGTTAGTTGATCAATCTTGATAAGTTAATTGCATTTAAGTAAAACATACTTACAGTATAAAAAGCTCAATTGATGTTGTGGTAAGCTGACTTTTTGAAAGAAGCCAATTTAAATCTTTCTGTTCAATTATCACTGGACTCTCTACACCCACAACATCCTTTTCTTTTGGAAATTTTTTTTTCTTAGAATGATTTATAGTAAGCCAATAAAATTATTTGTAGAGAGGAGTCAATTATGATGGCTGGGTTTGTGAAAGTTTAGTTAAGGGATTATTTGGCAAGGGAAGCTGAAAAGGTAAGAGATAGTTAATTAAAAAATATATAAAAAAGAAATATTTAATAATATATATGAAATATTAAATAAAACATACCTTGGCTTGAACCATACTCACAAGTCTCTTAGGCCATATGATAAAAGTACCAATAGCTTTAGACACAATCTTGACCTCATTAGTAGGGAATGGGGCGAGTGCATTCGCTATTTTTACATTTTCTACCACCACTCTGACTTGATCTTGTTGCATTTGTTTATGGTGGATGGTTTGTCCCAGAGTATGAATGCTGTTAAGAGTAACCAAGCATCTATCAAGATTCTCTAGATATAGCTCACATGATTCACCCATGTTTCTCGCTGAAAGACCCTCTGACATGCATCCAAGAATATCAATCTCTTTCATGCCGTGAAATCCAGGAGACTGTGTATGAGGTGCATTAGCAGTTATCTCTTATTGTGATGACATAAAGGTCATCATCTCCTCTTTCATTTTTGCAAGCTGAGCTTCCAAGCGAGCTTCAAATGAAGCTTCAACCTCCTTTATTATTTATTGCCTTACGTTTGTTATTACATTTTTCAGCTCCTCTCTTGTAACAACTCTTGATCCGTAAGGACGTGCATGTGTTCCAAAGTAATCTCTAATTTCCATGCCAAATCCAACATCTCTAACATGTCCTGGATGCTCTGGCTTGCCGTAACAACCACCAAAATGTCATTTCTATCCTTTAGAATGAAGGATCGTTGAGATTGTTGTCCTTAAAAGCCTCCTATAACAAAACAAAACAATATCATAACATTCTATATTGGTAATTGAATAAAAAAGTTAAAGAATTAAATGTTACTTACAATCCTTTTGCCAACCACATGTGCCTTCTCACTTGTATACCCTCCCTTCTTGTATTGATGATCATATCTCTATTATCCTCATGAGAGATAGATGATGGTGGGGGTAAGAGAATAGAAGGATCAGATTTAGCTTGTTCTTCTCTCTTCTTCAACCTCTCATCCATCAAAATATTGTCAACATGATCATAACTCCCATAAGACATTATGTAGGGGCATTCATTTCTCTAATCAATTTCTTTACCTTTTGCTCATTTTTTCTGTTGATAAAAAAATTAACAAATTAATATAATTAGTTGAATTAAATTACTACAATTAAATTAATTAGAAATCAATTGACCATAGCTTTTTCAAAAGTCAAAATCTTATAGAATTCCTACCAAGTTTGTTCATCCAGAAACTAATATGTATCGAGAGGATTAGGACGAGGTTGACCTTCTTTCAACTCGACATGGACAAATTTCCTCACAAGGTCATTCTTGAAACCTCTCCAACATTCCCTATAATATTTTGTTAGTTGTCTCCGACATGCTTCATCATTCAAAACATCATAGGTAAGCTGCAATTAATAATAGTTAGTATTTTATACATAATAATTATAAATGTTTATAACTTTATAATGATATACCTGAATGCTTTCCCAAATCTGTTCCTTCACATGTTCTAGCACATCAAGCCAATTTTCATGCAAGATACTGGGCTTGTTTTGTGACAGGAGACCAAGGTAGCTGACAAACTTGGCCTTATTTGGCCCTCACAATTTCTATTGCTGATCAAACTGAATTGGTAATTTATTGCCAGTGGTCCTACTCAAAGAACAGCTCTCTCAGTCCTGTTCCTCACCTACCCCTCCTCACTGACTGGCTTTGACTAGGATCACTATCACTACTATAAGCAATCTCTGCAGTTGGCTGGCTCTGAGTAACCTTTATAGTTGGCTGGCTCTGAGTAACCTCGATAGACAGCTGGCTCAAGCCACCGTTTGTAGGTCCACTCTGATTTTTCTCTATGTTCCTAAAAATAAAACACAATAAATTGTAAACAAAGCATAATTCAAATAATACAAAATAAATAAAACACAAAGAATTATAAATAAAGCATAACTCTAAATTAGAAAATTAACATTAATTTAGAAATTAAATTCATATAGAGATATTCTCCCATATCCCTTTATGGTGATCACTTTGTGCTGCATGTTCATCATCTGTCTCATCTACATTCAAATTGGGTAGTCTTGATGAGAAGACAGGAGTTTCAGAGATATCGAAGCCTGTTTTATTTTTATCATCACTATCAATCACCCTTTTTTCTTCGAGAGCTATTAACCAACTTTTATCTGCCGGATCGATAACATAAAAAACTTGTTTTGCTTAGTCTACCATAATAAATAACTCCTCCTCATAGGTTAGTCTTCTAAGATCAACCAATGTAAATCCTAACTTATTATCTTTACATGCCATTGACGTCAACCCACTTGCATTTGAAAATAGGCACTCTAAATTTAGTATAGTCAACCTCTCAAATCTCTTCAATAATCCCAAAATAAGGTATGGATGCCATTTTTGGATTCTTATCATTCTTATTTGAGAAGTGCACAACTTCAGCCAATATCATAACTCTACTATTTTGTACAATACTCTTCTCATCAAGAGACCTTATATAAAATGAATACCTATTAATATTGTATGCATTCTAGTATATCACATCCATGTTAGGACTTTCTGCTAACTATTTAATTGTATCAGAAATATTATCCTCATTTAAGATTTGTTGTTTGTACCAATCTATAAAAGTCCTATTGTGCTCTTTCAAGAACCTCTATTTAGTCATTCTCAACCAATTGCATTCTACCCTTGGAAGTTCTTTATCGGTATCCATGTAACTTTGAACTTTATCAATATTATTTAAGATATATAAATGTACTTCTTGCACTTCATCACAATTCATGATCTTTACTGATACCCCACGTGTGCGTTGACCTAATTGCTTGCTCTCCTGATGAGATTTAGGAAGCCTAATTTGTTTTGTATTAGACAAATAATCAGAACAAAACTTAATAACTTCTTCAGCAACATATTTTTTAATAATAAATGCTTCAGGGCAGTAAGATTCTTCATATACCCTTTCAATATTTTCAAATATCTCTCAACTGAGTACATCCATCATAAGTAGATAGGGCCGCACATTTTAACCTCTCTCACTAAATGAACTATTAAATGTATCATAATGTCAAAAAATAAAGGAGGAAAGTGCATCTCAAGTTGACATAATATAATACAAACTTCTTATTCCAACTCATCCAATTTGAGAGGATCAATAATTTTACTACATATTGCATAGAAAAAAAACAAAGTCTAGTTATTGTGTGCCTCAAATCCTCTTTCAATATATCTTGGATGGCCACTGGTAATAATTATTGATTTAAGACATGACAATCATGAGACTTTAAGCCTACTAATTTCAACTCTTTCATCAACACAAGCTTATTAATATCTAAAGAATACCTTAATAGTACTTTAATCTCATGTAAATACTTACAAAAACTTATTTTCTCTACCTTGGATAATGTATAAGAAGTCGGGGGATAGTAAGTCCTCTTACCTTCTGATCTCGAGTCTAGGTCCTCTTGTGTTTTTATTTCTTTTAAATCTAATTTTGCATTCACACTATCCTTCATCTTTCTTTGCATGTTCAAAAGTATTCCAATAATATTATCACACATTTTTTTCACATGCATAACATTAATACAATGCCTCACTTCAAGAAAGTGCTAATATGGAAGATCAAAGAAGATAGACTTTTTTTTTCATATATTTTTGGCACTTGTGTTCTTTTGAGTTTTACCAAGAATAACATTGATATCATTCACTTATTCATAGATTTGCTCTCCAATTAAAGCATCCGAAGCATGAAAGTGCTCTTAGTGACCATGAAAAGTTTTCTTTAGTTTACGATAAGGGTGATCTTGTCTAAGAAATCTACAATGGCCAAAGTAAATTATCTTCCTTTCATATTGAAGTTGATGGTAGCATGTGCCTTCTTCACAAATTGGACATGCTTTGTGACCCTTGACACTGTATCTAGACAAATTTTCATATATAAGAAAGTCATTTATAGTGCAAAATATTATAGCATGTAACTTGAAATTCTCCTTTCGATTTGCATCAAATACATCCACACCTACCTCCCATAGCTCTTTCAAGTCTTCAATCAAAGGTTTAAGAAAGTATCAATGTTATTTCTAGGTTGTTTTGATCCTGAAATTAGCATGGATAGCATGATATACTTCTATTTCATGCATAGCCAAAGGGGTAGGTTGTAAATCACCAAAAAACAGGCCACGAGCTATGTATACTACTAAGGCTATCGTAATGATTCATTCCATCAGTAAAAAGTCCAAGCTTTAAGTTCTTTGGTTTACTGTCAAATTTAATAAACAATTGATTAATTTTCTTTCACTGAGGAGAATTGGCTAGATGTTAAAATTTTCCATCAGAAATCCTCTCATCTGCATGCCACCTCAAATTCTTCACATCATTAGTATTCTCAAACAAGCGCATGAACCTTGGTATAATTGAAAGATGCCACAAGACCTTTGCATCCCTTCTCTTTGTAGCATGGTACCTCACATTTTGGACACTTTTCCTCCCCTTTGAGGTTTTCTCTATACAACACACAATCATTAGGAAATACATGTATCTTTTTAAAATTCATACCTATTGGGCACAAAATCTTCTTAGCATCATAATAATGATTTGGTAGTGTATTTCCTTTTGGAAGCATTATTTGGAGTAACTCTATCAATCATGTAAAACTCTGATCACTCCACCCAACTCTTGCCTTCAACATAACTGATTTTAATACCCCAGATAATAAATTGAAATCAGTACACCTTAAATATAAAGGCTTCTCTGCATCAGTGCACAAGTTATCATACATATGCACTCATTCAAAGGCCTCTTCCCAATATTATGAATCATGTCCTCTAATCGATCTTCATCTATATCTACTTTATCACCAAGATCATTATCAACTTCCATATATTGAGACATACCACTATGATTTTCTAATCAGTCACTATGCCAAATCCATACTGTATAATTCTTACAAATCCCATCGCAAATTAAGTGCTCTCTTATTTCAGCAACACTGAATCTCCTCTCATTCAAGCAATTTACACAAGGACAATAGAACTTTCTACTATTTTCAACAACATTTTTCTTAGCAAATTTCAAAAAATCCTTCACATCATTATCATACACATCACTTGTTCGTCTAGCATTTATATAACTATGATCCATATGTTATTACCTAGAGGACAATAAAACTAATGTGCATGTTATTGTCTTTAAATTATTTCAAAAAATGTAAATTCCTAATTAATCTATGATTTTAATTAATTTAGGAAAAATAACATATTTAAAAAAAATTTGGCAGAGTCTTCCTTAAAAATTAGACCTCCCAATTTTACAAGAGAAAATTTATAATTTTACACAAAATAAATAATCACATGCAACACCTAAGGCTTTATGAAGCCACTAACAGTACTTCCAACAACAATTAATATCAATAAAATTTTAGAATATTTTTCCTAAACATTAGATATCCAACAACAACAACTCTACATAAAAATAATAATAAAAGTAATCCAATAATAATTATTTAAACAATAATAAAAAATAAAATTACAATTAAATAATAATTAAAAAAAGTACCTGAATCAATGGAGCAATAAAATAATGAAGGAGAGTGAATGAGAACACTGAGGGTGAAGGGAAGGGTGTGGGGGCTGAGAGGGAGAGGGGGGTGGGGGGGGGGTGGGGGCGGGGGCTAAGGGAGAAGGGAGGGGGTCTTGGGGGACCAAGGGGGAGGGGAGGGGACGATGGTTGGGGGGATTGGGGGTACCAAGGGGGCGGGGGGAAGGGGCGATAGGTGGAGGGACTTAGGGGTAAAGGGGAGGGAGGAGTGGGTGGGGGTGACTTGGGGGCTCGAGGGGGGAGGGGGCACCGGGGGGAAAGGAGGGCAACAGGCTTGAGGGGACTGTGAGGGGGACTGGTGTCGAGGGAAAGGGGAGGGCGGTGGTCCGAGAGAAGTAAGGGGGAGGCAACACTGAGATGGAAGTATAAGGGCAGTGGCAATGAGGTGTGGTGAAGGAGGAAGAAGATGATGAATAATTAAGGGGGAGTGGGGGTGGGTTTTTCATCTGTTAAAAAAATTTGAATCATTTTTAATAGCGGGTGACACATCACCCGCTATTGAAAGTGTACGTTTTTTTTTATTTTTTTTATATGGCACTTTCAACAGTGGGTGGCCTCCACTCGTTGTTAAAGGAGCAATTTTTTTATTTTTTTAATTAATATTTTCAAGAGCGGGTGGCTTACACCCGCTGTTAAAAGTTCTACTTTCAACAATAAGTGGTGGCCACCCATTGTCAAAAGTTGAATATTTTTCTTTTTTATTTTTAAATGCATCTTTTCAACAGTGGATATAATGCACTTGCTATTAAAAGTGGAGTTTCAATAGCGGGTTGCCTTCACCTGCTGTTGAAAGTTGTTAAAAATTATAAAAATACCACCGCATTTACTTTCAACAATGAGTGTGTGTTAACTGGTGTCAAAAATCTCTTGTAAAATTCAAATTCTACACTAGTGACACGTCCAAAAAGGATATAAGGGAAGTGTAGTGTGTGCGATCTCATTCTCCAGAAAAAGCTCTCTGCATCTTTCCTTCCCTTGGCTCTCTTCTCTCAATGCCTTTGGTGTGTTCTCCTGAACCAAATTCGTATCATAATGTTGTTCCTGCAAATGTACCTACATCAGTGCAACTGAACTCATTTAGGTACGCTTTCCTCCTCCAAATCTTTACAACAATTATATTACCATATATATCCCTTGATGCAAGGGGTCTCTTGATCAATTCCCCAAGTAGTCCAAAGGGGAAAATTATATTGGATGGGTATATGTGCTTGTGTATGGTGTATACCCATGTGTGCATAGCGTGATGCGCGTGTATGGAACCCTTTTCTCTAAGAAATTAAAGGGTTAGATAGGATAGATAAAAAAAAAATAGAAAAAGAAATCTAGAATTATCACATTGCAAACATATATATCATATCATATTATATAAGCTTATCATAATTTTTATCTTTTCCTTATTTCTTTTATTGTTTTTTAATTTTTTCTTTGCAAATATTATTTTCTCACATTTAAAAATATTAACGTGTTTAATCGTTTTTCTCTCCTCTTTTTTTTTTATTTGATGACTTGTGAAGATAAGAGAAAATATGAAAATAAAAAATGACTTGTGAAAGATGACATTTTTTTTTATTCTGTCACACGTAAAATTATTAATATACTTCACACATTAAATTAATGAAAAAAATTTTAATATAATTTTTTGGTTTAACAATATTTTATAAAGTATTAAATTTAGTTAAAATTATAATATGCCACTTGAAATAGTAATATTGTACGCCACTTGAAACAGTCAACATAATATTAATATTCAAACCAAAATATTCTAAGTGCAAAAAAAAAAAGATAATATTAATATTTTATGCCACGAGGTCATGATGAAAGCGCCATCCAATGACCTCTTAATAGCGGCATCATACATTCACACATTACATGAGAATAGAAAAATTTAGTCATTTAAATTTAATTTTTTATCAAATTGGTTTCAAAAATTTATTTTATTTATTAATTTAAATCTTATTATTTAAATAAAAGATAATACTGTTAAAGTCTATTACCATGGATAATGGAAATATTGATGATAACCATATATGTTAATGAAAAGCAGTGTAATTATATTATTTATGTAGGAAAAAAAAAGACTTATAAATTTTAAAAATAAAAAGAATATAGAAGACAATATTGATAGATTAATAAATTAATTTGAAAGCTAATTTTTTTATTTAGCCATATACATACATATATATACATATAAGTTATCAATATATTTTACACATTAGATTAATTTAAAAGTCAGTTTGTATTTTAAAATTTTAAAAAAATAATGTCATAATTTAATAAATGTAAAATTTTTTTAATATAAATTAAACTTAAAGAGCTAAGTCGATGATTAAAATAAACTTTCCGGATGGAAGTTACATCATCCCACATGTATATACACACACATTGTAATTTGATTAGCTCACAGAAGCGTAGGCCTGTTATGATCTATATTGGGATGCCATCTATGAAAAAGAGAATCCAATACGTAAGAAGTCTGAATTATAAACTTGTTAATGAAAAATTCTCAAAATACAAGGATGTGGGGAATTGGAAGAATTGTTCTTTTAAGCTACGACATGAACAATTTTAGTGGACTAACCACTAAATATAAGATCTTCAAGAAGATACGATAACAAAATACCAAAAGCCAAAAATCCAACCTTAAAACCAACAAAAACATTAGCAATGTCAAAGTCTGACAACGATTCAATCGCCAACCCAAGACTCGAGCCATTGTCTTTAGAACTCGACACGATGAAGAACTTGTATTGTTCATCTCCTTTTTCTCTATTGACCACGCCGTAATCCACCGTGGATGACCCACTGGCTCGAACCCTAATTGCCACCGTAATCTCTTCCCCAGATCAGCCATGTGACCAGCCCCATAAAGTATGGCAATCCTTTTATGTCCATCATTAATTGCCTTCTTCAGATAACATAATGAAATTTGATTCCTAACACCAACCACAACAGATTTCTCGTCTAATTGTGAGATCACCTTTGCAAGGAACCTTCAAAACAATAATGTTTTCCATCGATTAATGTCTAAGAAAAAGAGAATATAATATTCATTAAGAAATGCATCAAACACGCACTCACTTATTGGTTAGCTTCCTTGCAATGAAGGCCTTGATTGCTGAAGCAAAATCAATCTTTAATGCCTCTATTTCAGGTTTTGCTAACGCTTGGCCTATAATTCCACCAGTTGAACGTACGAGTTCACAGGTTTCACGGCCAACGAGTGGCAAAGGAAGGACAAGACCTACATGTTTTGGCTTCAACATCATCGCCTTCAAGTATCGATAAGTCGCATCTTTTGAAAGAGAAAACATGTTTTCTCCTCTTTCACGCTGAAACACAGGTACACAACTTTATTAATTATTTAAACAGTATATAATAATGGATGTGAATACAACAAAATGAGGAATCAATGAAAAGTTAAAAAATTAATTAGAAGGTCAAACCTGACGTAAGGTGAAGGTTTCTTCATCAAGATCTGCATGGTACCAATTTGCAGCCTGGTAATTGAGAAAGGCCATTTGGTGGTCAAGCTTGAGAATTCCAGATATGCAGGATTGGATGTATTCATTGATCTTGAACCTAATAAAACTTGTTTTTCTGGAAGCTCGCTTCCTTGCTTCAGGGTTTGTGTTTTCTCCACTTTCTATACTTTTTTTGGGAGCTACCATTTCATAAAGTACGCAGTCATAGGATTCAAGTTCTTTCTGGAGGGCTTGATAATATCTGCTTGAAGTTATGTGGAGATCAATACAATTAATTATTTCTTGGCATATAGAACAATATTAATTAAATACTTCTGATTCTTATTCCCCTGAATTTGACTTAAAAAATTCATGAAAAAAGACATTGAACAAGTTGTAAATTTCGAAGTTGGACTGATAAATATTAAAAGAATACTTGTAAAAAATTCCCAACTAAACCCTAAATAATAAAATAAAATTGGGAGAAAAATTTACATGTCATACAATGTGTACGAGCCCGGCGAACAAATTTACAATTTTCCCTATCCCAGGGGACCTATTGATAATAAATGAAATTCATGGGACCTATCAATAATTAATTTTCTTGCTGGTAATTTTTCATAATTATAACTTGCTCCCATACATGAATCTCTAAAGTGAAATTTGGGCCATGACAACATTGTTCTTTTATCTCATCACTAAAATTGACAAAGTACCAAAATCCAGACCAATCATCAAAATGGTCAGTAAAGTGGTTCGAGGGTCAATATTCCAAGTGACAGTTAAATCAGGACATGATTAACTCAAAATGATGCCGTTTTAGACTCGACAAAGAGGGAAAATGGTTTGCTTATTTGACTTTTGCTTGAGAAAATAAGAGAAACTTTCATATTTTTAAAAACTTTCAACAATTTAATATTATTCTTTTATTTTACAAATGTAACATGCATGTTATCTCTGTGTCATCCATCAATCAATAATCAAATAATCTCACAAAGGACAATCCAAGAACCAAAAAAAAAAAACCCGTTAAGAGAGACCTACTCTTTATCAGCCATATGAATTGTTGAAACTAAATCGACCTGCACCATCTATATATAAAAGACAATTCACAATAAATCAGTTGATTCAAAAAAGCAGAAACAAGAAGTTAGAACAGCATTGAGAAACTGAAAAGGTTTCGGGTCGGACCTGAAGCAAACGATTCGATTCCTCATCCGACGACAACGGAGACTTATTCCGGTAGCTCACTATGGCCGTCTGCAACTCTCCGATCCTTGCATCGCCTTCTCTCTTGAACTTCAAAAAATCTGCCATCGAAGTATATTTTTTCAACAGCTTGTCCTCAGAACTACTCATCATCATCGACATCTCGCTGGTTAGCTTCTCGTTCTTGTATTTGATTTGTGACCTTAATTTTTGGATTACCGTTAATATATATAGACTCGTTTCTCATTAAAAATAATATATCTCGACTATGTATTTAGGATAAACATTAGCTTATCGAGTTTTATATTTTTTTATCCATTCATAATCTTCATATTATTTCTCTAATATATCACATATCGTATCATATATAAGGTTATCATCATGGTTTTTATCTTTTTTTTCCCTTTTTTGTATTGTTTTTTCATTTTTCTGTATCATATTTAAAAAATTCAACGTGAATACCCTTTTTTTTCCCCCTTTTTGTTTATTGATTTGGAATCTTGGTAAAACTACGATATCTAAACTAGATACGGTACTAGAAAATATATCCTTGAAGTGAGGAAGGTAGTGATAAAATATAATAAAAATTTAACTAAATAATTACTCAAAATAATATTTTAAATATTTATTAAATTTGTATGAATAATATGAACTACTAAAATGTAAAAAAAAAAACGACAATTAAAAAAACTTCTAATGATAACCAAAAAAGTTGCTGCAACAATTAAAAGTTACTGTTAAAAGTAAATTTATGTCATCATTAATAGTTAATACCAAATATAAACTTTTGATGATAACTTTTAATTATTACCATTAAAAATAGATTTTTAACAGAGTGATATTCAACAATTGTCATCAAAAATTAATTTTGTCATCAAGTATTTTTATAAAAAAATTATTTAAAAATTAAAATAATTTATATAATTACTTTGGTAATCAAATGATATATATGATTAAGAAACAAAAGAAGTGATGATAAAGATGTGTTATGTTTATTTAATTATTAAATCACTTTCTTAATGTTATATCATTAGTATCATTAGATATATAAAAGTAGGATAACATGCTACATATTCTTGTTTCTTTTTGTGAATTCTACAATTTTGTATTTCAGGATGTTTTTTATACGATTAAATGCTTCAAATTCAAGTTTAGAGTTAGGTCTGCGATGATTTGTTATTATTGTTATGTAAAAAATAAATTAAATTTGTATATGTTGAGTTTGGAAAAGAAAATAATATATATAATAAAAGATTCAAAATTCAAGCTTTAAGTAGATTTACCTATTTGAAATTCAAATCAACAAATACTAACTGCATCAGATATTAAAAAAAAATCAGGTCTAACTATTTGAAATTCAAATCCACCCATTTAAAAAAAAAAAGATTAGTCTTTCTTAAAAGGGTTGAAAAATAAATTAATAAAAACATGTGCATAATGGGTTAAAAATAAAAATGTTTCATTTATGCAGTCCATGATACTGTCTTTAAACGATAAATATACCAGATCCACTCTAATCTATATTTTAGGCGAGATAACATAATTCAAATCAAATTAGATTTTAGGTAATTTACCGTCCTAATCTGAATTTTAATAAATAAAAGGAATAAAATATGAAATTTGTTATTGGGCCGCCTTTCGAACTCAAATTCAAATTTATCTTATTCGCTTTAACTCCATATCGGCGATGATAAATAACAAGGGTTGGCTGCTATTTCATTCCACACTTCCGAGCATTTGAGTTACTCGTAATATCCTTTAGCTTATTTTGCAGGCGGATATTGTTAAATTTACATTATGTCAAGGTTCATTTTTACCTTTATTTTTTGTAGGAGCATTGGACACTATGTACTGGTAAATGAGATAATCTTTTATTAAATCATTTTTATGAGAAGTCAAAAACTCCTTCTGGTAGTCATTCATTAATTTTACCATTTTATACTGACATGACATGTGTGTGGGTCCACGTGTAGTGATGAGGAAGAATTTGACCCTTGTTAACTAAATAAATAAATATTGAGTGATGAAAATCAAATATGTAACCGAAATAAGATAAGGCTGCAAAATATATCAACCAGTTAAAGGTGCAAAAAATTATCGAAGTCACGTATCTTTGAAAAAAAATTAATTTTTCATAATTAATCATACCTTTTGGAGTATTTGAAATTTGCTAAAATACTGTAACTTAAAACAGATAAGTTAATAATTTCAAGCAATATATTCAATCATTTTGATAGTCAACATAATACTATTAAGGAAAAATTAATCTTTTACTCCTTTAATTTTTAACTCACTTATAACTCAATCTCTCAATTATGACTCGCTATGATTCAATCTCTTAACTTTTGACTCACTTATAATTTGGTCCTTATTTTTTAATTTTTTTTAAAAATTATCCTTATCAAATAAAAGGGATAAAAGAAATGCTCATATTTTATTTTAAAATACCCTCATTTTGCTCTTTAATGTGAGATCTAAGCTAATATAAAAAAATTAAAAAAAAATTGAGGGACTAAATCATGGGCAAATCAAAAGTTGAGAGACTGAGTTCTAACGAGTCATAATTAAAAAATTGAGTTACAAGTAAGTTAAAAGTTTAAGGATTGAAAGATTAATTTTTTTCATAATTAATAATAAAAAGTCAGCTACATGTATTATTATGGTAATCAGGATGCATGGGCTTAAAATAAAAATGAAAATCAAGATTGTACAGTGATCCATTGTGGCGAGTAAAAAATGAGCAATTGGATGGTGTGTTGGTTTAGGGTAATATATTTTGCATAGTAAACTCTTGTGGGAAAAATATGAACTAAAGATTATATTTATCTAGCATTTTGATAGGTCCACCTGTCTACTAACATAAAAGAATTAAAAGTACAATGCGACACATTCTTTTTAAGACATAATGTGATATAAAATCATTTGAGCTCTATATCTAATGTGCAGTTCCGATAAAATTTAGTGCATCCACTTGACTGGCACATTCTCTTCCTTGAGCGGTCAGTGTACTCCTATTACCCCCTCCCCCCGGTTGTAAGGTATGAATGAGTTGCTTTATCTCCTCTCTGATGTCCTCTAAGTCATCTTTAATAATTAACCCAAATCTGCTTTAGTATTCATCTTGCCTATGTCTAAAAACATTATCATTTGCTAAGATAAGCAGAGTAGGTGTATTTTGCACTTTCATGTCATCTTTTTGCTGCAAGGTTTAAGGAGGCCTAGACTGAATAACAATGAGTCTCGCCCTTTCACAGAACCTAGCTACAATTCCTAAACGGCATTGCAACGATATTACAAAGCAGGGCAGAGGGTCTACTTTTCCATTGATGCCTTGTCGAAAAACCTAGTTGACTTCCCCAACATCTTAGCTCTCAGCAATAGGACTTGTACAATAGGAGAGTCATTGATTTCCTCCATACCACTAACAGTGTCAGATGCGTGAGAACTCTCATATATATATACTTGGTATGTGATTATTGCATCCATACTATATATTGCCTCTGTTTTTTAACTAATTTTATCCTCAATAAAATAATTACTTGTCTTTCAATTAATCAAATTTTTTTTATATTTATCCTTATTTAATAGGATGTTTCAGCCTAAAATAAATAAGAAAGTGATTTATTCAATAGAGAATACTTTTAAAAAAAAAGATAATGATTACACCATGAAAAACTAAAAATATTTTATATTTTTTAACATCTAACTTTTTAAAAAATACTTTATATTTTTGAATGGAGGAAGTAACAATTATAAATATGATGATCCCGTTAAAAAAAATTGTTGATATTTTTGAGTTATCATTTTTTATAAAAGAAAGACACGACTAACAAGTAACACTAGGTGTGGCACCTGAAAAATGTGACTCGGATGGCGCGTAAACGAAAGTTCCAGCCTTCAAGGCCAAAACCAGATGGAATGGGAGTCGCCACCAAAGTTTTGAAAGAAATCTTGAAAAACTGATTAAAGGAGAATAAGGATGGTTTGGAAAAATAGAAAATAGGTTTAGGAGTTGATTAAGTATGAGAAAGGTGTTAGGCACCTCACAACATCCGTTCGTGAGAACGGTTACTTGAAGTTTGTTGTGCTATGTTAATATGTTTTTAAAGTTATTTTAATTATCTATCTTTTATTCCTGTGTTTGATATAAAAATGATAAGAGTTAAGTTAAAAATATTTATTTATTTACGAGAGAGGACTTGACTCAAAATCCGACTCTGAAGCCAACGTACCCTGTGATGGGGATCAAAGTCCACGTTGTTCGGGCTTGAAAATTATTGGTGAAAATATTTTTTGAAGAGAAATTAATTAAAAATAATTTATCATTTTGTAAATAAAATAATTTCTAAAATTTTGATGTGTGTTTTAACATTGCAAAGAGTAATTTAATTTTAATTATTTTCTCAATTTTTGAATTTTTAGAATAAAGAAAAGAAAATAGTTTAAAAATTATTTATTTTTTTATATTTTATGATTAAGAGTTTAATTGCTATACCTGCAAACTTTATTGGTTCATACAGTAATGCAACCGTTCTAAATATCTGTAGAGATTTCAAAATCTCACACAATAAAAGAGTTTAATAACTTAATTTATTTATATTTTTGAATGTTAGTAATAATTTTTGTAAGCATGTATGTACATATACACTTTTTTCTAAAAAATATTAATCATTATATCTGCAAAGCCTTATTGACTTATATGGTAATATGGTTATTCTAAACATCTGTGGAGATTCTGAAATCTCACACAATAAAAGATTAAATAATATACATTTAAGTACATTTTTAATTTAATTGATCTAATATAATTTTTATTATATATATATATATTTAAAAAACTTAATCGTTATATCTGCAAAGTCTTATTGACTCATACGATAATACACTTATCTTAAGAGATTTAAAAATCTCACATGATTAAAAGATATAATCAGTAAATATGAACATATTAATTAATTAATTTATTTTTCTATATTGTATATTATATCATTATAAAAATCATTTATTTAACATTGAGAATCACTATATCTGCAAGGATTTATTATCCCACATGATGATGTGATTAATTTAAGTCTTTACGAAGATTCTTGAAATCTTATATGAGACTTAAATAAATTATTAATTTAGATTATAAAAAAAGAGTTAATTTTAATGATAGGCCT